GGGCGCTCCGGGGGCGCGGGGCTGCGTGTTCAGGGCGCGGGGCGCCGCGGGCTCATTGTGCGCCGGCGAGGCCGCTGCCGGCGCTCCTCCTGCTCCCGGCGCTCGGTCTAGGAGGAAGAAAGCAAACAAGAAAGAGGAGTGAAGCCCCCATACATACATGCACCGGATGGGAAATGTCAGCTCTGCTCCACCTTCAAGCAGTCACAGATCAAACGGTGGCACGCCGCGCAGCGCGACTTTCCGCCCGTCCGTCCCGGGGGCTTTGCCCAGCTCGCCGCCGCTTCCGAGACTAAACATCACGCAGACGCATCGCGAGCGTGGAGCTTCGTCCGGTCTGGATGGTCCACGGAGAATGTTTGGAAAATTCACAAAAATCGCCCCCTCGGAGGTAGGGCTGGGTGGGGGCGAGCCAAAACCACCAACGACAACAACCCGGAGAGTGTGCGCGAAGGGGGCGCAGAGCAGACACGCACTGGGTGGGCGCGCGGCGCGTGGACGGTCCCCCCAAACTCCTGGGAGCAGAGAGATGCACTCCGCTCTCCTCGTTCGGTGAAATATAACACACATTCGGATCGCAGAGCTTTCAGACAGTCTCAACTGATAGACAGACACATCGAGCTGCTGCCGCTCGGTCCTTACTCCTCCTCCCTGCCAACGTCACCCTGACAATTACAAATAGGTCTCACACAAGCCATACCTGTCAATCTTTTTAATTGCTTTGTTTTCTTTTTTTTTTTTCCGGGGCTAAACAATATGACAAAAAGGAGAAATCTCAATGCAGCCTAACGTAGGGATTGCTTCGCAGTTGAGGCAGGCGTGGAGGGGTTTGTTATTGTAAGTCACTGGCTGATACTGGGGGGGAAGCCATGTGGTAAACCAACCTCTTAGTGTGCCCTCCGCTTGCACCTTCACACCACTTGTGACCACGTGCACCCAAGCTACCCGTGGGGGCAGACTGTCCCACTGTGGCGATAGAAATAGCTGTGGCGCTCTGACAATCCCAGTTTGGGGATAGATTTGGGTGGGGGTGGGGCGCTGGTTGGCTTTTGGAATTTGATTAACTCGTGGGTGAGTGCAAACTCGGAGTTTTGTGCAGCTGTGTGTGTGTGTGTTAAAATACACACCTTCAATAACAATTTAAAGCTACATTTGGTCCATCATAGAAAAACGTGGGAAACAGTTCAGTTGCCCCACCCCCGCCCCCCAAGAAAAGTGAGTTGATTTTATCTGATTATGACAGACAACTGGGACGAAAATTGTCGCCTTGGAACTGCGGGTCTCTAGCAGGCAGGCTCACAACAGGCGTCTTCCTCCAGCATAGCCAGGTCTCCAATTCAATGAAGTCCCTGGGCGTCACAATCTAGAAGTTGAAGATGTTTGTGTGCTTTGGGAATTTGGCCGGCTACCTTCCAAAGTGTGCTTCCTCTCCCAACGGGGAACCTCTAACAGGCTCCGAGAGGCTACTTAAAACATTCACGGAAAAACAAGAAATCTAGGCCAAAATCAAGAAAATGGCTTAGTTCGTGCAACTTGCGGGGGACACACCAGGGCGGCCAGGGCCGAGGGC